GCTCTGTTCACTCACAGCCACCAGCATGTAAAAATCACTCTGATGGATACATGAATGCTATGCCCAGCCACCCACAAATTATATACAGGGTGACACCCACATAACTCCAGTCCCCAGCCTTGCCCCTCAGAAATGTGTGTCTTGCACTCTTCAGTAGAGTTCTGGCCAGCACAAGCTCATTAATAGTCCATCATTCCATCAAAGGAAATGATTATGCACCAGCCTTTGTTAACCTGAGTAGAGATTCCCCAAACAAACACACTGGTTTTGATAAAACAATAGAACAAGTTTATTAACTACAGAAAGATAGATTTTAAGTGATAATAAGTGATAAGGCATAAAAGTCAGAATTGGTTACAAAATAAATAAAAGATAGAACTGTAATCTAATTCTTAAACTTTACCAAAGTAAGTAAGATTTGAAGCAAACAGCTCTCTCACCCACCAGATGTTGCAGGCAATTCCCAGTCGTCAGTTCACAGGCTGGATTTCCTTTCAGCCTGGGACCTCCCTCCCCCTGATTCAGTGCCCTTAGATATTCGTTGATGTCATAAGCAGACAGAAAAGTTGTGGCAAGGAGAGGAGAGGTGAGGTGGACAGGGCCCTTCTCCTCTCTCCACCTCTCTTATACCCCAACTCTTTGTACTGGAAAAATCCTTGCTGGATCGCAGGGGTAGACACTTCCACTGCATATGTGCTCTGCAAACCATCCTTCAGAGGAATTGTAAATACTCTGTTTATACCTTCCCTCCTGCTGGTGAATGCCCAATTAAGCAGTTAATAGTTTCTCGGCACCTGTGCTCAGTCTTTTGTGTTGTCCCTGAGGGGCAATTCTCCGCATTTCCCAAAACCATAGCACATTTTAGTAATATTATGCAGTAAAATCTCATAGTTTCACATGCAGTGTTGTTACACACATCATAACAGGACAATGATGTTCAGCAGATCATGAGTGTTCAAACAATACCTCACAAGGCATACTTTGTAGAAAATATATCAGAACCGTATAAAAGTGGTGAACATGGGGTATGGGGTGTCACAGACTTGCTTTATCCATAGCAGGTCCAAAGTCTTGTTTAAAATCATGTTAATTTAAATGTATTGGCTAACATGTCTAGACAAGCCCACAGAGTAGAAGATGCTTTCCAGAAAAATACTTCCTATGTGTTGATGCAACATATAGTACTTTTTAATCTACCTTGGCACACAACTTGTCAGGTCCATGACTATTTAAGGTTTTATGTCAAAGGTAGTATAGCAGGTTTACATAGCATCACCTGTCCCCAGAGGCCATGCTCCTGTGGGTGTATGGTTTTTAAAAAACATTCCTTACTCTGCTGATTCCATCCTAGGTTTTCCTTCCAGTTTTCACCCACTCATTCAAAGCCTAGTTCTATCCCTTATTTCCCTTCCCTACCACCACTGCCCACTGATTTAGCCTGTAATAATCTGCTATACTACCCTAGTTCAACTGGCGTTTACCCAATTGGCCTCCCTTTTTCTGTCCTATCCTATCACCACAAGTCTTCAGTCCCTCTTGTCACTCCTCACTGGCAGCAATTACTCTCCCATCACCACACCCAGAACTGAATCCAGAACTGTCAGAATTTATAACCTTTGAAACATCAAGCCACAAATTTTAAGTGCCCAACACATAGTTAAGGTATTTAATACATATTCCTCGGTTTTTTTGTAGTTGGACAGTGATAGAGGGACTGTCTCCAGTTAATCTTATGGAAATTGGAATTCATGGTTTGCAATGAAGACAGTTAGTTCCAATAACCACTTCATCCTTAATACAACTTTCTAAATGCCAGTTATAGGTCAGATTTTTGCTTACCCTCTGAGCAGAACAAACTGCCATTACAAAAGCTGCTTTCATGCTTCACATTAATAATTAAACTGAACGAGTGCATAAAACAGATGTTTGGTCACTAGAATAAAATTCAAGTTCCGCCACGGTTTCAGTGGCAACTGATCAAAACTCAGCTGCATCATGCTGACTACTCAGAGGTACATAGTTCCTCCACCCACCCTTTTGCATTAAAGTTACAAGGAAAATATTTGTGTAGTCTCAATATAGGCACAATTTGGGAACACAATGGGATGAGAGGATAACAAGATGGGTGTAATCTGAGGAAAGTGCTACTCTGCAAATGTTAAGAATGATCAAGATAGACTCATGAAAGGAATCTGGGGAAAATGTAGTTTTTGTTTTTTTTTAAAGTTAGGCTTCTGTCTCTTGTTTGTTTGTCAAAAACTGTAGGAAGGAGCAAAGTAGACAACGCTTTAGTAAAAATACATGGAAAACAAATAAAATTAGACAATTTTTCATTCCACTTATCAAAGTGCTTATAGCTTCCATTTTGAGGCTTGCAAAAATAATACAATATTGAGTAAAGGCATTTAATCTGTTTCCAGATTATTTAAAGAAATAAAAAATTAGACTAGTGCAGTCAATGCCTTCTTGCCAACTCATATTATAATCTTCAGATTTGGAATAGCAGGCAGCCATAAAGTACACCATTCATCAGAAACAGGACAACTCCATGAAATAAAAGACATATATAATAACATTCCTCAAAACACCATGACATTTTTAGCTTTCAAATAATTCTCAAAGAACGTATGTGCACTTGAATCTATTGGTAATAGAATGAGGGTGGATTGGCAGCTAAATTGGAGTCCTAATATTTTTGGGATACTGTGCTATAAATCATCATCTTTCATAGAGGCTGAAAGAGGACGAGATATACTACCTTTTAGTTGCTTATCAGTTTATACTCTTCACTGTGAGGTACACTTGCATCAGATATATGTTTGCCATTTCAGAGTCAAGCAGAGAAGGAGGTGTGTAAAGCACCTCACTTGTTCAGTTGAAACTTTTTTTTAAGTCTTGATCCTGCAAACATTTAAGCATATCCATGACTTTACTTATAAACATCAATGGGATCATGTTTCAATGTTTTACTCTGAGAAAATTCAGTTTACAGTGAGTTAAACTTTAAACCCAATTTCAGATGTAAAATGATGACCAAGTTTATTTTAAATTTTACATTAACTGTTAAGTGTATTACAAGTAAAGTAATATCACTTATGGGTAAGGACTTGGGGCATATAATTGAAATAAGGAACATCTTTCTTAATAATATTATTCCTGAAGATCTACATGAATCTCCATAATTTTGTTTTTCTTCTTATTTCAGAACCACTAAAAGTGTATAGGTAAGAGATATTCATATTCTGTTTATTTACCTTTTTCTACATACAGTTGTGTTGTAGTTTAAGGCACACAGGATCAGATTATTGATATGATCAAGTCTGATATCTTGAATCTCACAGAAGACAGTATTGGACATTCCATAGAGTAGTGGAAAACACACTCCCCCATACCCTAAGCAGCATTCAATATCAAGGAAAAAATTCTTCTTGAACCCAGGGGCAATCAAGTGATAGATCTGATGCATCAGATCTAAGTAGCCCCCATAACATGTATTTATCATAAAACTATCCAACTCTGTCTGAATCCATGTACCTGCTTTATGACCTACGGTAATACATTTCAATTAGTCAGAATGGCAATTAGGCCAATCCTCTTCTTCTATCAAAGCAGAAAAATTATTATACACAAGCCCAGAGAGGGCTTATTAGCTGAACTTTTCCTTTTTACTAAGTATCTATATGACTGACTAAATTTTCATTATGGTAAGAAGTCAGAATAAAAAATAAAATAAAACATTTTCACCTACATAGGGTCACTGCATTCACTTAAATCTCATTAAAAGAGTGGGAGTACTAAACTTGAAGGGAAAAAAATGACACAAAGCCCCAAGGGCTTTTAGAGAATTAATCCTTCTCAGCTGACAAGTCATCCCCACCAACAATCCACCAAGGCTTCACATGACACAAATGAAACAACAACCAAGTTTTCAACACTTTTGAAAGAATTTGTAAGGGGAGGGGGCAAGAAGGAGGAATAATTCCAACCACAGGAAGTGCATTCTTTAACTATTAGCAGTATAGAGGCTACATTTTAAATAAAATGTAAGATGTTTTAAAACTTTGCTTTACTGTAGTACTTAATTTAGTAAGAGTAGTTGAGTAATCTCTATGTGGGGGATCAGGAGCATCTGGCAGTCAGCCTACTCCATCACACCTCAAGGCTGACTTCGCAAATAAGATAAGGTATGTTAAATACAATATTTTTGACTGACAGAGAAACTTGTTTCAAATCAAATTGACATCAAACAGTTAGAAATAAAAAGACCGGCCCTGCAGGATTTCCTTAAAATTACTGTGCCTGAGGACATTCGTTTTTCATGCAAAGTGCCAATGAATGGAAATGCTGCCTTGAAGAAAAGTTGCAAGCGGTATAACTGTACTTAGCACGAGGGCAATACACTATCTTTTCGTTTTTTTATTTTTCGCCACCTAACAATACTGCAATTAAAAGGCAACAAGGGGGTGGGGAAGTCAATCCAGTCCTTCAACACTTGCCGTCATCGCTCACATGTGTAACAGTCACGTCTAACTCACCAACATGCTGATGACATTTAAGGTCTTCCAATGTTATCAAAAAAAGAAAAAGACGACGAAGTCAGGAGTGACTTTTCCTCCTCTCCACAAGCAATCAAAGGGACGGACCTCTCTAGTCCTCCAAACTACATGAGAAGGGTCTCTGGGCTCCACCGTCCCCTGCACCCGTGGCAGCCCAGCTGAGCCCGGTCTCATTCCCAGCGGAGCTGGAGGAGAACGTTGCTCCGGGGAGGAGGAAACTCAGGAAAACTTCTCCCCGGGGGTAGCTGGCCAGCATGGGAAGAACGGCGAAAGACGTCTAACGCCCCCCGACCTGCCCCCACCCAAGAACCTTTCCTCCTTGACGCGCCCGTGGGGCGCAGCGCCCTGCACGCTGGGGGAGGGGGGCAGCCGGCAGGCGCGGGGGTAGCAGGCGGGGGCTGCAGCCCCGTTGGAAGGCAAGTCGCTTGCCCCGGGGAGTCTCACCTTCTGCGGCGGGGTCCCGATCAGCATCTCCAGGTAGTAGCCCCGGCCGGAGTCTCCCTGCAGATTCTCCACCATGGCCAAGAAGCTGACGGCGGCCCCGGGCTCCGAGGCCAAGGCCAAGCCGTCCGCCTCGCCGAGGGGGGCCAGCTGGCGGCTGCTCCCGGAGCCGTTCCCCGGGGCGGCCGGCGGAGACACCCGCAGGGGGAAGGAGAAGCGAGGCCGGCCCAGCCCGGCAGCGCCAGCCAGGAGCAGCAGGAGGCAGGGAGCCGCGGGCAGCGTCCCCATCCCGGCGGCAGCGGGACGCTCGGCGGCTCAGGCAGGAGAGAGCAGCCGCCTGGCCGCGGGGCTGCAGCAGCTGGGGAGCGGGAGGAGGAGGGGGAGGAGGAGGGCGGCTCCGGCTTCCCCACGCCCCGGCTTCATCTCGCACCCCGGCGCCCCACCGCTGCCCCCGCCAGAGCCCGGGGGGCGCTCCGCGCGCAGCGGCGGGACCCAAGAGTTTGGGCTGGGAACAAGCGCCAAGAAACTTCCCCACGGGGCTCCGGCCAGCGGATGTGACGGGGCCGCCTGGAGCCAGCAGGAAAAAGTTTACCCAGGCCCTTAAAGGGACAAGGGGGAGGAGGGGGGCAAACACCACCCACCCCTGGCGGGGCGGGGCGGGGCTCGGCTCAGCCCAGGGAAAAGTTGCTTGTTAACTGCTGCCCAGCCCTTCCTGCGGCTGGAGCACGCGGCGCTCGGCCGCGTTTACACGGAGAAAGAGCCGGTTCCAAAGTTCCCCGGCGAGGTTCGAGCCGGCGAGTCGCCTGGAGGGAGGCGCAGTATGGAAATCACCCGTCATACAACATCCCTTGGGGCCAGCCGCTTCTGCCAATGAGTTTGTGTCCGAGCATGGCATTTCTCCGGTGCTTTTCATTACAGAGGACACGGCTGTCACCACCAGAGTACGGAATAACCTCACACACAGAGACACCTCTCATCACCTCCCCTTCCAGAGCTAGTTTTCTCACCTCCCCATTACACGTTTTTCCACGCTGTGGGGGTTTCAATGGGATCTCTTTTTTTCGTTACGTTTATACAAGTAAATCACTTTTATAATCGCACCCTCCATCCTCTCTCTGAACTTGCATTAATGTATTACTCCTCCCTCCCACCGCCTCCAAGAGACAGGGAGATAGATGTATATAGTTAGGAAGTAATTAGAGGAATAACTTGTGATCAAGAAGCCAGCTCCTCAGCCCGTGTAAATCAGTGTAGCGGCACTGATGTAGCTATTGATGCACACAACACACTGGCTGAGTGAAGAGAAAAGGAGGACTCGGGGAACCTGAGAGACTAACAAATTTATTTGAGCATATGCTTTCCTGAGCTACAGCTCACTTCATCGGATGCATCTTCTAGCCCAAGATCAGAAACGAAATGATGACCATTTACTATTTATTTTATGTTAGCGCCTGAGGAACACAATCAGGGATTAGGACTCCAGTGTGTCACATATACACTCTGTGTAAACAAGTAAAATAAAAACGATATCTGCCCTGGAAAGCTCTCAGCCTAGGATTTGACAATAAAGAGGTGAGCCAACAAAATCGTGAAGACGTTCAAGGTAACAATAAAGATAAATGACTTTGCATGTTAGTAATCACCCTGCTCTCAATCGCTATACATTTACATTCATTTTCCATATTAATATGGTATATAGTTTACTGACTTGAGTATGAAGTACAGTTATACGGAATAAATCCTTTGGTTGTAATCACGATGAGCTTTTTAACATAATCATAACACAAATAATAACAATCAAAAGATGTGAAATCTAACGAGCTTTTCCTCTAACCTGCTGCAGCATTAGTGTTTTTTTTTAAACCTCTCCAGTAATGATAAAGTGAGTGCCAGATAATTAAATTGAGATGAAGGTCTGAAACCCTTGAAAAATAATAGGATCCAAGTCCAATCTGCACCCTTTCTAGCTCTTCCTCCCTGTGTTAAGTAAACAGGAAAATGTCCAGACCCAAATCGCAAACCTCTAAAGAATCGCTAAACAATTTGTTGTCCTGGGCAACCACCTGTTCTGTCTTTATGTGTAAGCCAGCCACCAGTTAAATGGCTTAGGAAGGAGAGCTTTGCACTGAGAGAGAGAAAGGATAGGCATTAACTTCCTTCATTATTATAATGAATTTCAGAAGATCTGCAAAAGTTTCACAGATATTAATAAATCCCCACAACAACCCTGTAAAGCAAAAAGTATTACCCCCATTTTACAGATGGGACAGCTGAGACACCAGCGGGGTCCAGGAGCAACATGCTGGGGAGAAATGCAGATGAGGGTGTTATCCCTGAACATTGCTTAGACGCTCCAGCCCAGATCCTCAGTGGGAGATAGGCACCCAAATATGGGCCTCCAGCTTTTGTATCACATGATAAATTTGAGGTTCCACAACCCTCTCTGAATGCTTCTTACAGCCTCCTGACTCTTTCAGGGGGAGTATCAGTAACTCTGTCCCTCCTACCATCACACATTTTGGAGCTCTTCTCCACTATTCCCACTTGGTCCACCTGCCTCTCTGCTGCTACTCAGAGCTTTCCCAAGAAGCAGCCTAGCAAAGTTGACATGAGTCTTGTCTTTTTAACGAATGTCTATACAGTTCTCAACGGCAGAGGGACACTGACCAGAGGTTTCTTAATTTCATTCTGCTGTTGCCTGGGAATGCTATATGCAGCAAGCAGAAACAATGGAAATGCCTGCTTACAGGCGCAGGTAGACACTACTGCTTAAGTTCACAGTTGGAAGGTTATTTTTGCACTCAAGGCTTAGACACTATGCTTTTAAATGGAAGCTTAAATTTTGGAGCAATTACTTAGGACCCCTAGCCATGGAAAACTTGCTACTTACCACCGAGAAGTAGGTGAGTGAAATTTTTCAAGTCCTGCTATATCTGGCCTCTCATGCCCTGGAATCACAGATAATAGAACTAGACACCACCACTTGGGTCAAAGAGTCAGACTCCCTGTGTCTAGATTGATAGCAGCTAAACAACTGTGGAAGTGGCATGTTCAGAGCTCACAAGAAAGGTTATATTGCTGTAGTAATGACTTTTCTAGTCTAACAAGGCACAGATAGTGACAGGTTATTCAGTAACCTGATCATGACCTGTCTAATCATGGTCAATATGAGGCCTACTCGCAACCAGGGGGAGTCAAAGGATTAGGACTCTTTGTGGGAGTGCTGAGAATGGGAGGAATGATCTCACCTTGCCAAGGAAAAGGAAATTAGAAAACAATTTAAAATCCCCTCACAGCAAGAAGGGTATATTATGTTAGTCAGCAGCTATATAAATTTTGTTTAAATTCTTGTGCAATACACTAAGTCGTCTCCCTCTGTTGCTAAGATATCTAGATGGTATCTCTGGCTAAAGCAACAGCAGTCAGAAGAAACATCTGTGAAGTAAAAGCTTTCAAAAGTATAACACATATTCTGTAGTATCGTCTAGATGTTCAAATGGAAACTAGTCTTTTTGTAACATTTAAATGTAAGCATTTGGTAAAAGTTTGAATCTATCTGGTCCTGTTGCACACAGGACTGGGCTTTTAGAATGCCTGCTTACAAATGATGGGAGTCAAGAACCTTCTGCAGATTGAAGGATTGTGTTTTGTCTTATAATAAATTATGTGTGCACAGCTTCACTGTATTCCCCCACCCCGCCCCGCCCCACTCCGCTCCACCATCATGACAGCAGAACTTGTGTTTGGTTGCACAATGGTTAATTGTATGGGCTCTGCCACTTCTCGTTTCTCCTTTATTCACCCTGGTAGTTTATTCGTTTCTCCTTTATTCACCCTGTGGCCCTGATTCCATAACATACATGTGAATAGTCCTATTGAATACTCACATGCATGACAGTGTCACTGCAGGATCAGGGTTTATGAAAGCAAGACAGATAACTGAAGGAAGTCAAAGTCCTTCAAAAAATCTGAAGACACTCAGATCCAAAATATTTCTTCCAGGGCAGATCATTTGCATATAGTACATATAAATTTAATACACAACTTTGTGCCCAATATATATATAAAATATGAAATGTTGGAAGCAGGTAATCTTAAGTATCTGTTTCTCCCGTTTTCTAAAATATCTTTCAATAATTCTGGTTTCTATGATATATTCCTCTTCTTATAAATATGAGAAAGTTATTTGATTTTATTGAAAGTTATTTGATCTATTTTGCTATAGGCATCTATGCGTAGGTATAAATCTATATTTATGAAGACATCCATTTACATGTAGAAATGCAAATTGGAACTTGATTCACCACTGTATTAATCCAGTTCAGTGGAATCATACCAGCATAAAATTGGAGTAACCAATTAGTGAACCAGGCCTATTGTATCCATATCTATTTCCAAAAGAGCCTTCCACTGGTATAAACTGAATGCCCTGTGTGACAGATATGGAGCTGATCTGTAATTTTACGAATATTTTATGTTGACCTGGTTATTGGGATGTTTACTGTATGACTATATTGGGTTATTCCATTGGGAAAACAAGCAGGAAGTAGGTTTGCCAACATTCTACTTGCGCAAAACTGAACACCCTTGCCCCACCCATCTTGAAGCCCCTCCTCTGCCATACCCCTTTTCCAAGGTCCCACCCCTGCTCACTCCATCTCCCCTCTGTCGCTCGCTCGCCCCACCCTCACTCACTTGCTCATTTTCACCGGCTGGTTCAGGGGGTTGGGATGCGGGAGGGGGTGAGGGCTCCAGCTTGGGGTGCAGGCTCCAGGGTGGGTCCAGGGATGACAGGTTTGGGGTGCAGGAGGGTGCTGGGGGTTGGAGCCAAGGGGTTCAGAGTACGGGAGGGGGTTCTGGGCTGGGGCAGGGGTGTGGGAGGGGATATGGCCTCTGGGATGGGGCCAGATATGAGTGGTTCAGGGTGTAGGAGGGGGCTCTGGGCTGGGGCAGGGGGGAGGTGAGGGCTCCAGCTGGAGGTACGGACTCTGGGTTGGGGCTGGGGATGAGGGATTTGGGGTGCAGGAGGGTGCTCCAGGCTGGGACCAAGGGGTTTGGAGGGCAGGAGGGGGAACAGGGCTGGGGCAGGGGGTTGGGGCACAGGAGGGGATGCAGGCTCCAGGCGGTGCTTACCTCAGGTGGCTCCCGGAAGCAGCAGCATGACCCCTCTCTGGCTCCTTTGCGGAGGTGCGGCCAGGTGGCTCTGTGTGTTACCCCATCTGCAGGCACCACCCCCACAACTCCCATTGGCAGTGGTTCCCAGCCAATGGGAGCTGCGAAACTGGCACTTGTGGCAGGGGCAGCGTGTGGAGCCTCCTGACTGCCTACACGTAGGAGCTGGAGGGGGGACATGCCACTGCTTCTGGGAGCCGCACAGAGCCACGGCAGGTAGGGAGCCTACCTTAGCCCCACTGTGCCACTGGCCAAATTTTTAATGACCCAGTCAGCAGTGCTCAGGAATACAGCTCAGGAAGTTTGCAGAGTTTTCACCAGGCAGCAGCCTACAGGAAAATTTATTTCTGGATTAGATTTTAATCTAGCAATCATTGATCTTCTGATTCCAAACATTCATACAT